AGAACTCGACTAGTTTCAAGCCATGCTAGACCCACAGACTCGAGTAGCAGCGCGACAGTCACCGCATCGCAGGTCGCAAAATGCTGCTCATGAATATGAGCCTCTAGCATGGCTTGAAACTAGTCGAGTTCCTCGTCGCATTACGTGAGTAAGCCGAAAACATAATAATTTAGATAGTCTGATTCTTGAGAAAAGTGTATGATTTGTTAATTATGTTTTTGAAGCTGCGGATGCGAAGTTAGTAAGATATAAAAAATAAACAGGAAAGTTCGTAAAATGCTTAAAAGATTCAGACGAGATATAGCTTAAGGATAAACCATGATCTTACGTTTATATTTTAGGACAATATATAATACCTAGATTATCTAGAATTATAAATGTACACGAATTATTATGCGTTTTAGACATGATTCGACTTGCTACACCGGCTCAAGAGTGATACAGCGGCCTCATAGGAAACGGGCGTGAAACAACAATGCCTTCTCCAGGGTGAGGCGTAAACCACCACGCAGGCTTAAAAACCACCCCGTTCCTACTCCTGCCCTTCGAGCCGGAGCCCCGGCAACCCGTCTAGTCCTCCGCGGCTTCGTATCGGCATCAGCCCTTTGGGGCCCATCTGGTCTGATGGTTCTTTAAGGCCCGCGCGGAACGCTCGCCGGCGCTCGGGTCTGGTTCTGGTCGGGAGGCGAGTCACCCGTGCTAGCCGTGCGCAGGCCCGTGCTTACGATAGCCGGAGATCATCTCGCGATCCCTGATGCCCAGATGGCTGGGGCTTGAGACAGCGCTTGCGTTAGTATTGTGCAGTATAAGTGTGGGTACTGGAGACCCCCGAAATATAACGCACTTGTATCTCCTCTGCTGTTGTTCGACGCTGATTGCTTACCATCAGGGAATCCGTCTGCCCCTTCTATTTTATATTTCATGGTCCGTCGTTTGACCAGTATCTCGCCTGGTGGTAAGCGATGATGTCTACGATGGAGCACGTCGACCCATAAGCAACCTATTCACTCGGGCCTTGAAGACACCCAGGTTTATACCCTTCAGGAAATACAGACTCTAGCCAAGAATTATTTATTTTACCTGCATTAAAACACAACTGGCGAAAAGCACCAGACCTTTCTATCAAACGTACAAATTATAACAAGCGTGAATATAATATTATTATGACATTAAGAGTATAAACGTGTACTGCTTTAGTAAGATATAATATATTATGTTTTATAGAGAGCGAGCGAGATAGAGGTTGTAGTACGCGAGGACGTGTTTATGTTAGATCGAGACAAGAATTATATTCAGATTGTATTTTTTTTTTTGGCATAAGCCGCAAACGAGGCGACAGGTAACCTGATGGTAAGCAATTGACGTCCCCCACGGACACCTGAAACACCAGCGGCGTTACAAGTGCGTTATCGGCCTTTTGGGGATCAGGAGTTTGAGGATCGTTGGGGATTCAGGGACTGGGGAGATTGGGAAAGGGGAGGGAGGTAATTGGGCCTCCGGTAATCTCACTCACACGACGAAACACAACGCAAGCGTTGCCTCACGTCGGTTATCTGTGAGTTTAATTTAATATTGTGAATTTATAATATTATAAATGCGAAAATTGTGTAAGGATTTATGTATGTTTGTTGCTCTTACACGCAAAAACTACTATTCGGATTTCGATGAAATTTGGAACATGAATTATGGTCTATAATAACAAATAGGCCACGTTTTACTCCATGGGAACGCGGGCGAACCCGTTAGCAGAAATTAATTATCAAATACATTACACTTTTTTATGGGGGGAAAATCATTGAATGTCTTCTCTTGCCCGGGTGAGGCGGGAGGGAGTGTCAAACTCTTATTGACTAAAAACCTCCCCGTTCCTACTCCTACGCCGGTCAAATTCAAATTCAAAGTCAAAGCATTTATTTCAATTAAACCATAGTTTGGTACTTTTGAAACGTCAACAAATACAAAATAAATAATAGTCTGTCAGTCAGTCCGTCAGTCAATGAAATTAGGTGAAGCTAGGTGCTCATTCCAAAATGTAGATTTGAATGGAGAAGAACGAGCAAGAAACTACATTCGTTACACTTTTTTAAAAAAGTATGTTCTACAATGTCTCTGATACATATTTCAATATTGCCCGGAGCCCCGGTAACCCGTTAGGTTCTCCGCGACACCGAAAATACATTAAACATTAGCTATGCATTTTGTTTAACTCGTCGAGTACCGTCATTATAGACACAATTATAGAACAATAGGTTGCGGTCACCGGTGACCGCTTGGTGTTTGACAGTTTAATCAACCGTCCTTGACGCACGCAACTATGCATGAAATTAAGTAATACTTATGTCACTTAACACCACACGTGAAACGCATTATAGAAACATAATTATTTGTAAATACATAGACAGTATCTGATTATATGTTTCGTAGATAAACAAATTAAGATAGAGACACGTTTTAATCACATACGTTTATGAAACATATCGTAAAACCGAAGGGATAGACAGAAGTGTAAGTACATATTAAAACAAGTATGTTTTTTTTACTGCCTCGTTGGCCGCGTGGTCGCAAGTGCTACTGCCGGGCAAGCGGTCTCGGGTTTGATTCCCGGGTCGGGCAAAGTGTTACTGGGTATTTTAATAAATTCTCAGTCGCAGCACGGAGTCTGGAACTGTGTCCGGTATATGACAATAGGCTCACCCCCTTTTACATGGGACTCATAACATAAATAGTACAAAGTGGGTGTTACATTGTACAGTGGCATAATGTACACCTTTGTCTACCCCTTCGGGGATAAAAGGCGTGACGTTATGTTATGTTTATGTTTTTTTATGGGATAATCCGGTAAACAAGCAGACGGATCACCTGATAGTAAGCAATCAGCGTCGCTCATGGACACCTGGAACACCAGAGGCGTTACCATTGCGTTACCGGCCTTTTGGGGATTAGGAGTTTGAGGATCGCTGGGGATTCAGGAATTGGGGAGATTGGGGTAATTGGGTCTCCAGTAACCTCCCTCACACAACGCAAGTTTTGTTTAACGTATAATATAATTCATATAATAAGAATAATTGTTTGTCTCTTAGGTTACATAACATTACGCCTTTTATTCCCGAAAGGATAGGCAGAGGCGCACATTATGCCACTGTACAATGTAACACCCACTTTGTACTATTTATGTTATGAGCCTCATGTAATAGAGGTTGAGCCTATTGCCATATACCGGGCACAATTCCAGACTCCGTGCTACTACTGAGAATTTTTTTAAAACCCAGTAATACTTTGCCCGACCCGGGAATCGAACCCGAGACCCTTTGCCCGGCAGTCGCACTTGCGACCACTCTGCCTATACAACAACATTTCATAAAACATAATAACAACATCAAAACAAAAACCCAAGACCATTTCCCTTTCAACCGCCATAAACAGCAAAACAAAAGAAAGTCCAAAAGACAATATTCATTCTTTCCAAAAAAGGTTCTGCCAAAAAAGACTCACATACCTGCTTAGCCCTTTCTCAAGTATGTCACATATGTTGAGTAAACCAATGAGTAAATGATAAGCACGCCTTTAAGGGCACTCCTAATTCCGGCCGGCTTTGTGGAAAAATTACTAACTTTCACTACTTTAGACTAATATGGGAGTATGATGATAATCGTAAAAAAATTGAAATAATCAATCCCTAAGCGGTTACCGGGGACCGCTCTGCAATACTCTCCATTAACTCTATTTTGCCATACCTATTATTGGAAGCAAGTATAACAGGTCACACATAGGACCATTTAGTTTTTTAGTCAAATTTCCGTGGTGCTTGGCGACTGGGCTTCACCCAGTTGTGCAGTCTCTTCTTTTTGCCTTTAGGCTTAATTCATTCTGTCTCTTGCAATAATTCACCGAGGGAAATGGAAACTATAGTTTTTTCTTCCTCTTCCCTTATAATATCTTCTGATTCACTTCGTTGCGGGAACCAAGACAGTTATTCATGTCCCTGGGACGCGCCGGACTTCAATGTTCCGGTGTTTTCAGGGTTGTATCTACTGTAGATCCTGGTGTACAGGAGTTGCAGCGGTTTTGGGAAGTTGTGGCGGGCTTGTCCCATTAAAAAAATAACTCTATTATAGACCTTATGTTCTATATTTAGAGACTACTTTTGTATTAACTAAAATTCGCGGATTACTCACGTGAATATACTGAGAAAAGCTCTACTAGTTTCGAACCACAACGGTTCTTCCTCATGAGCAGCGCGCGCGGTCGAGGCTATGTCGCACAGCCTACTCGTCAATAGTTAATTTAGTATGTATCACGATAGTTATTATAAAAACTACTTTTGTATAAACAAAATTGGATGATTTACATCAAGTGATAACAAAGCTGTATAATTATCTGGATTGATTCAAGAATTCTTAGGATATTTCAGTTTCGCCAACTCTAATCTCTAAAATAACTGACTCCCAAAAGGATGGCAACGCACTTTTAATTCTTCTGGTGTTGCGGGTGTCTATGGGCGGCGCCGATTGCTTACCATCGGTGACTCAGCATGACCCATTTGATACCATGATGCTCGTTCGCCGCCCTATCTCATTAAAAATTAGATGAGGATGTGTTCAGAATTATGACCAACTTTTTACCATACTTTCAAATGCATATGGCACCGACTTCTGACCGAACATAGTACCTCCTCCTTTTTTTGAAGTCAGTAAAAAGAAAACACCTGTCACTTTAAACTTGGAACAAAATGACATCACTTAGAATTACACCAACACAAAATCGACAGGAAACCTAACCAAACACACATATCTACACCACTTACTCACAATACTTTATCAAAACAAACACATACATAATTAACAACTACAAATAAAGCAAAAATAAAATGGTCCGGAAAAGCATTACCTAAAAAGGTAACGACAAATACACCGATATTGCATGACACCGTCCCCCATTGAGGTTCGACCGAACACCTGCGCGCGAGCACAACCATCACAATCCACATTCAGTTAGCCGACGACACTTGAGCGGGACGGTCGTCAAGCTCGCAACAAAATAAACAATAAAAAAATATCGTTAACGAAAATTCGATTTAAATTAAAGTGTTTGTGTATTTTTTTTTTATTTAAAAAGTGATTCTTATAGTGATTGTTTTTAAGTGAAGTGGGTACACAACTTTGGAAGTTAGAGCTTTGTTGAAGCTTTCGATTCGAAGTAAGTTTCGTATTTCGTTTTGTTTGTTGAGTGTATGTTTTGTTGTAATTCGTAATGTTGTCTTATTTGTCTATTTGTGTTTTAACTGGTGATTACATTAATAGATTTGACTGAAATCTAAAATGTCGCAGATGTACCTGGTCTAAGATTCGGGTCGTCAATGAACTTTAGAATGAAAATGGTGAATTTCCCAAGGTCTTATTTATCTTGGAAAGTATGTATGTGCAGTACTCTTGCAATTAAGTATCGAAGCACATTTGCAACCCTTTTTTATATAGAATAAGCCGGTAAACGAGCAGACGGATCACCTGATGGTAAGCAATCGGCGTCGCCCATGGACATCTGAAACACCAAGGCGTTACAAGTGCATTACTGGCCTTTTGGGAATTGGGAATTTGAGGATTGTGGATGATTCGGGAGACTAGGGAGAGGGGTAATTAGGCCTCCGGTAACCTTACTCACATGACGATTTTCTTTCACGTCGGTTTTCTGTGAGGCCGTGGTATCATTTCGGTCGTGCCGAAGCATGGCTCTCCCACACTTGAAACCTTTTTTATAATTGTATTACATATATTATGGTCCTTGATTCCCAATTCATCGCTACATAGTATAAAACAAAGTCGCTATGCACCGTCTGTCTGTCCCTATGTATGCTTAGATCTTTAAAACTACGCAACGGATTTTTATGCGTTTTGTTTTAATAGATAGAGTGATTCTTAAGGAAGGTTTATATGTATAATACATGCATATTGCACCCGTGCGAAGCCGGGGCGGGTCGCTAGTAAACAAATACCTTAGGACACAGGGTATCAATAACTTCTCTATCTGTAGGTAACATCATAATATTACGCCTTTAATCCCCGAAGAGGTAGACTTAGGTGCACATTGCGGCACTTAATGCCACTGTACAATGTAACACCAACTTTTCACTATTTATGTTATGATTCCCATGTAATAGGGAGTGAGCCTATTGCCATATACCGGGCACAATTCCAGACTCCGTATTACTTTACTATTAGTGTAAATAAAATATAACAAGCATGCGTACAGTGTTCACAAATGAAGTAAATTTCATCTAGATACGTCCATCCGTTTTGGAATTATTGAGTAACAAAAATCGAAATAAACTCTCGCATATAACAATCAAAGTTATTTTACAACATAGGACCGATACATAAGCTATAAATATATAAAAAATATACATAAATAAAACCAGTACAATTTGCATACAGTCTTGTATACGTTTACATCACATTGACATAATATACGATACAATCTCAATGACAATGTGTCAATAAATATAATTCGATATATAAAAAAAAAAACAAAAAAAATCGTAAAAAGTATTGATGACACGAACAAACATATTATATGCGTTTTTACTTCTAGAATTTGTTTAATAGATACTAGCTCCTGCATGAGACTTCGCTCGCGTTTATCTATAGATGAAAAGTATTGTTACAGATTATAACCTAATTCTCTACTACATGTCATGAAAATTTATACCTACATACATAACTGCACACCTGTCTCCCATAGGGGTTGTTTTTTTTTAGGGGGATATTATCGAAATACTTCTCCCGTCTGGGTGAGGGTGGAGGGAGTGTCAGACTCTTACTGACTAAATACCACCCCGTTCCTACTCCTGCACTTCGAGCAGGAGCGGCAAACCGTTAAGTCCTTCGCGGCGTCTCCCATGGGGGTAGGCAGAGACTGTGGGACGCAAATTGCTACGATTCTTACATACCTCTTTCGCTTCATCAACAGTCATCAATCTTTTTATTCATGCAGGCTTAGGATACTTTTAATTTGGCCATTCTTTAATATAATTCATTCAGCAGTTTTTAGCGTGAAAGTGCATCAGATATACATACGTCGTTATGATATCATTTATAATATTAGTAGGGTAGGATTACTCGTTGCCTCGACGTCAGTTGGCTGTGCGACACCGCGACCACGCACGCTGCTCATGAGGAAGAACCCCTCTGAGGTTCAAAACTAGCAGAGCTTTTCCCCGCGATTGATCGCATGATTCACACATCGCCAGAGTTGCGGGGAGCCAGTGGATGCAGGTGGCGAGTTGTCGTTCGACGTGGAGGGCTAAGGGGAAGTCTCCCGGCTGTTGACGATGATGATGATAACCCGCGATTTTTAGTTACTTCTGAAAAGTTTGTTTGTTTATTTGGGTGCACTAATCTTAGTAACTACTGGTTCGAAATGAATAATTATTTTTGTGTTGGATACTCCATTTAGCCAGGAGAGCTATGGCCTATAAAACATTACGCTATCATTAACACGGTAAGGATCATGTAGGTCACTGGTGCCCTACGCTATCGGAGGATTTATCTCTAACAGTTCTCTGTCGGCAGTCAACGGCTTAAGAGGAAATAATCAGGTGGCTTACTCTTGAATCCAATTCCGATCGATCGACATTGGTATTGTAAAATTTCATACTCTTGAGTGGGAACACTAGCGCCCATTGCAACCGTATTTGCGTGAATATTGGATAAACTAATTGGTATTGAGTTTGGCTTTATATTCCGTACTCTGAATGCTATTTTAACACCTACGATTATGGTTGTATAGTTTTGACATTGAATAATTATTGAGATTTTATTGGATTGAAATTGCATTGACATTGAGATTGCTTTCAAGAGTAAGAGCACCCAGAGCGGTTGAAACCACACCACAGTAGCTAGTATATTGTCATTACAATAATGTTAAGAAGTAGAGAAGGAAAACAATCACAAACTCAAACTCCTTGGACATACCTAAATAATGGCATTTCCGTCCAATAGCCAATGACATAGATCCACAGTTATATTTATAAACATAGTATCATATAATGTACCTATGTTTAAATTTTATTAGGGTAGAACAATAGACGTGGATGTATAAACAAATTCCTTGGTATGTTATTCCAACTACATTTCGATATACGTAGGAATAGACGCTGAGATCATAAATGTGGTGACGCCAGAATATCACATCAACATCACGGGGATGTCGTAACAACTGGAAGGGCCTATAGGGCGCTTACTCTTGAAACCAATCTCAGAACTATTATACTTTAGCAGCCCCGAGCGTACAGTGCGTCGCGTTCCACGCGCGCCTCAAAGAGCCATCAGACCATCACGGATGGTGTCCAATAAGGCTGATGCCGATACGGAGCTGCGGAAGACTTAACGGGTTGCCGGGGCTCCGGCTCGAAGGGCAGGAGTAGGAACGGGGTGGTTTTAGTCAATAAGAATCTGATACTCGACGATATTCCGCTCTTACTCTACAACTGAGATTTTTTTTTAAAAACCCAGTACTCTTTGCCCGACCCGGGAACCCGAGACCCCTTTGCCGGCAGTCGCACTTGCAACCACTCGGCCATCGAGGCAGTCTTGTTTTAATCTCATACAAAAATATTACGGAATGTTCGGAATTCGGTTACCTGTGGTTTTTATAAGACTTTTTATAAAACATCACATACCATTGGTCAATAATAATAGAAGTATCCTGTTTCCTTGATTGTCGATTCGAGTCCTTTTTTAATTTTATTGGTGTTTATAAAACACATGCATTCCAACCGCAAATGGAATTTTATTTATTTTTTTTAAGGGGGGAAAATCATCGAATGACTGCTCCCGCCTGGGTGAGGCGGGAGGGAGTGTCAGACTCTTACTGACTAAAAACCACCCCGTTCCTTCTCCTGCACGTCGAGCCGGAGCCCCGGTTACCTATTAGGTTCTCCGCGACTCCCAATGGGCATCGGCCCTGTTGGGCAAATGGAATTTAGGGTCATGTTTTAGACGGTGATCGGATTGATTTCGGCTTGATCACGTAACTATTTGATGAGGAATACTTTTTTAAAAAGAGTAACGAATGGAGTTTCTTGCTCGTTCTTCTCCATTCAAATCTGCACGCTGCACGGTTGGCGCGGTGGCTGGGCAACTGGCTGCCGCGCAACGTGTCGCGGGTTCGATTCTCGCACGGAACAACTCTTTGTGTGATCCACAGATTGTTGTTCCGGGTCTGGGTGTCATGTGTATGTGAACTTGTATGTTTGTAAACGCACCCACGGTACAGGAGAAAATCCTAGTGTGGAGCAACGTTTTTTTTAGAAAAATAAAATTAATAAATAAAATCCACATTTTGGAATGAGCACCTATCCTCACCTAGGTACACTGACGGATTGACTGACAGACTATTATTTATTTTGTATTTGTTGACGTTTCGAAAGTACCAAAATATGTCTTAATTGAAATAAATGCTTTGACTTTGGAACTCGACTAGTAACAAGCCACGCTAGAGGCTCGTATTCATGAGCAGTCTTCCGCGTCACACGACGCGGTGACAATCAATTGAGAAAAACATAATAATTAATTTAAACTGTCAAACACCAAGCGGTCACCGGTGACCGCGACCTATTGTTCTATAATTGTGTCTATACTGACGGTACTCGACGAGTTAATATCTATCAGGAAAGTTATAAAACAAATATGATCGGACAAGTCATATCATCACGCCTTTTATCCCCGAAGAATGTAGCCAGACGTGTACATTATGCCACTGTACAATGTAACACCCACTTTTCACTATTTATGTTATGAGTCCCATGTAATAGGGGGTGAGCCTATTGCCATATACCGGGCACAATTCCAGACTCCGTGCTTTAGGGTTTGTAAAAAACGCGGTAACTAGAGGTTAAGACGCCCGCTTCTCATGCATGAGGGTTCGAAACAAGTACCAATGTGACTTTTTCCGAGTTATATGTACTTTCTAAGATTATTCAGATACCACTGACAAACGGTGACGGAAAACATCGTGAGGAAACCTGGGCTTACAATTTCTAATTATAAGTTTGAAATCGCCAACCCGCATTGAGCAAGCGTGGTGAATAATGCTCAAACCTTCTCCGTGTGAGAAGAGGCTTTGCTCAGCAGTGGGCATTTATAGGCTGTTGATGATGATGATGATGCGATAACTAGCATACGACTTTTCTTTTAAATGTC